TGACCTGAAATATATCATGACCAGTGTTTTGAATTGAATTGCTTACTCTGCTTGTGTTACAACAGCTCAAAACACTGGATTTACAATAAAGAGGTCTTTACTAATGCAAGTCACTCCAATACACTGCAAACAGAGGCCACACCACATCTGTATATATTTTAGCTGCTGTAATCACTCACCCCCACTCACCATTTGGCTCCTCGTGTGCTGCTGATCTATAACCCAAGTGTGCACGTGCATCTTCCTCTGCTTGTAAACTCGGAAAAAAAAAATAACACTTGGTATCGGGTTATGAGATCGGCCAGATCAGCGAGGACCGATTGAGCCATAAAATGTGATTATCAGCCTATACAGATTTCCAGCGCATCTCTACTTTAAAGTTTAGTTTTTTTTTTTTTTTTGCTAAAGATTTTACATAACCACAGTGTGAATGTTAGGAGCAACGAAATTAGTTGTTTCTGATGTGGACCGTATCGGTTTAGTTATAGATCATAACCAGTTATTGAGTATGTAATTTATCTCATATGCGCCATGTAGCAGTAAAATACTATGGCAATGAAGGTGAGTAATTAAAATGCAGAAACTGCACAATTCACTGCGTGTGTTTGCTCGACAGTCACTAACTGACACTGAAGTTGAGGCAGAAGCCCCTATTTCACTGCAATTAAGAAAATGAAAGTAAACTCCATTTTTCTTTCTCTCTCTCACTGGCCTGTTTGATCTGCTGGCATGACGTTTCCTTTCCTCTCGGCTGTTATAGTGATACTTGCGGATCCAGACACGAGCATGTCTGCAGAGTGAGTTTTCTCCACCGCATCTATCAAGGATCAGCTGTGATCGCTGCTGCCGTTTGTCAGTGTCACTTATTGGTGAACAGCGCCAGCGCGTCCTCGAGCAGGCCTTTTTATTCTGCACGTGACCAATCAAAGGTGTTTAACCAATTCACCCGACAACGCTCAAAAAACAGAATAATATTACATTTGTTTATTTGCTTGAAATGCTCATGTTGTTCTCTGCATGTACTTTATTTTTTTGATACATTTAAAAAGTGTTTTTTTAGCAATTCAAATTAAAGGTACAGTACATATATCTGACTGCTTGTATTAAATGACAGAGAGAGAGAGAGAGAGAGAGAGAGAGAGAGAGAAAGGGACACACACACAAACACAAACAAACAAACAGCATCCACGTGCATGCGCTTGCTCGCTCAGGAGCGACATTGTTAGACTGTGCGCCCGCTCCCTTTCAAATTACACTGATTACCGACCGCTTCCGCACTTTATTCGGAAATGTATTCCTGCACCGCAAGATATCTGGTCGGCTTCCTCGGAAATGCAGACCTCTTGTTTGTATTTACACGCCTCCCTTCTCGATTGGTTAAAACCGGAAACACTGTCAAACTGCAGGTCACTTTTTTATTTAATACTTGTCTCCTATTTAAGTGCATTGTTTTTTATGACGGTATAACGGTATAGAAACTGACAACGTTGCTATTTTTAAATCCCGCGGTATACCATATTACTGTATTACCTCCCTAGCCTAACCTCTAGTAAATGTAACATTCAAACATCATCCAATATCATTAAAAATGATTGTTTATTATTTTTATTATTATTGTTAATATTAATATTATTATTTAGTTATTCTTTATCGAGTTAGCACGCATGTAGGCATGCCTACAGAGTAACAAGAAGTATTAGAGAAGTATTGACATTAAGCATGACATCTGGTCAGAAAATGGATAACCATTTTCAAGGTATACCGGGGTTTGAAAAAGTCAAGGTTTTAAAGTTTTCAGAATTTTCAGCTATACTGTTCCTAAGGTATGTGTACGACTGTTTATTTAAGCTTTTTTGTTTTTGTTTTTTGGACATCAATTCAATTCAGCTTTATTTGTATAGCGCTTTTACAATGTAGATTGTGTCAAAGCAGCTTCACATAAATGGTCATAGTAACTGGAACAGTGTAGTTCAGTTTTTAGTGTTTAAGTTCAGTTCAGTTTAGCTCAGTTCAGTGTGATTTAAATAATTACTGAGAGTTTAAACACTGAAGAGCAAATTTATCGATGCATAGCTCTACCAATCCTGAACCATGCGAGCCAGTGGCGACAGCAGAGAAGGAAAAAAAACTTCACCTGATAGGAGAGTGAAGAAAAAAAACCTTGAGAGAACCAGACTCATTTGGGCACGACCATTTTAATTTCTCCGCTGGCCAAAAGTCTTGTGCAGAGCTTCAGTCACCGCGGTGGAGTCTGGAAGCTGGCCTCAGTGAAGACTCGTCTGTCCCTGGAGCGTCGCTGGAATCAGACTCATGTTCTCCACTCCTCATGACCATCAGCGCAGCAGCAGCTCAGGATATGGCCTGGTCCCGGATATGGAAACCTTGGGATCATCTCGTCGCTGGTCTTGGATCCAATCAGTGACTCCGCATAATCTGAAAACCTCGGTATGAGTATCCACAAGTGGAAAAAGAGGATAGAGAGATTAATTAGCGTAGCTGCTGTTCATAGTGTATATAAGCAAGATGCAGAAGCCTGTGTGGAACCTGCTAGGTGATGCATTGAGTGTATGCTTTACTAAACAGATGGGTCTTTAATCTAGTTTTGAACTGGGAGAGTGTGTCTGAGCATCGGACGTTATCAGGAAGGCTATTTCAGAGTGTAGGAGCCATGAAAGAGAAGGCTCGACCTCCTTTACTCGATTTTGCTATTCTAGGTACTACCAGAAGCCCTGAGTTTTGAGATCTTAAAGAGCGAGTTGGATTGTAGCGAGACAGAAGGTTGGTTAGATAAACAGGAGCTAGATTATTTAGAGCTTTATGGGTGAGAAGTAATATTTTAAATTCAATACGAAACTTAACAGGCAGCCAGTGTAAGGAGGATAAAATTGGGGTGATATGATCATATTTTCTAGACCTGGTAGGAACTCTGGCTGCTGCATTTACTAATTAAATGTACTAATTAAAGTTTGTTATCAGTAACATCAGTATCTCTAGCAGAAAATATGCCATTTTAAGTTGTAAAAAAAAAAAAAAAATCAAAATTAAAACAAATATAGACAGCATAAGTCAATGATTTTTTTAATTATTTAGCCTGACATGTTTATTGTTACAAAATCCTTTAAATGTTTCTCAAAATAAAATATATTGTTCAAAAGGCAACAAATTTTATTTATTTTTTTAACCAGACATTTAAAAACAATGTATGTTAGAGCATTAATCACAATATCGCAATACTGTGAAACCGTATCTAAAGTTATGAATCTTATACCGGCCCAAGTCTAATTGACAGGTAGCATTATTGTTGCATTTAAAATAGTGCTGCATAATACAATGAAATAAGCTATATTTAATTGATGAGTGTTGCAATAATAATAATTAGCTTTATCTTTTTTAAAAATCTTTTATTTATGGAATTAACATGCTTAAACAGGATTTTTAAAAAAATCTAATTAAATTTAATTCAGATTAAACAAAAACTAGGTCAAGGTGCATCCAGTCACTGCTGCGGACCATCTTTAAGCTGATAAAATCAGTGTGAATGAAGCACGATACACATTCTTCATCATCACTATGATGGCCTGAACTGGTTTATTTAGCCTTTCTTGATAGATTCTACCCGCAAAACAGTTCTACAGAATATGCAGGCTACAGGAAATTTACTTTGATGCTTACAGCTGTATCACAGTTGTTTGTATAAATACTGTGTGCCCAGACGTAACCAGTCTAGGTAGGGATGAGATCCTGTCAAACATGCTGACCTATTGCCTGTGTTTTCCATGCTATCTCTGTCATGCATGGCTGTGTAAATACCCTCTGTCAACAGAGCTTCTCTGTGCTCGTGCTGCTGATCACATTCTTCTCAGACTCATGCAATTCTCACAGTCAAATTTAGCACTTTTTTCCTAAGGCATTGTCTCTAGTGTGATTCACGTTTCAAGTCTCTGGAAGTGACTGGGAGATGTTTGTGTCTGGGTGTTTGTGCTAATGATTGGGTAGCTGAGAAATGCACATTTGCTGGGACATTGTTATTTTTGTTTGTCCCGAAGTTTGGTGGACACCACAACTTCGCTTGAATACGGTCATTCCACAGCTTCTGGGAAAGACTTGAAAGTACTTTCTCTGTTGATATAATGATGATATTTAAGTTTTAGGCTTCGTCTCCATGAAAATACCTAGTGTATTTTGATCAAACTTTGTTTATAGACTGTGCTCTGCTGGATTTTTGCCCAGTCAATTTGAAGTTTTTGCTCAACAAAGACGTCAAACAATGGTGGCTGTAAAGGGCAAGGTCTAGATTTCCACATGGTTCTTCACTGGTATTGGAGCGGAATGTTTATTCACTCTTTAAAGGTCAGAATGAGCTATATTAGGCATTTCATTGAACATTAAAATGGTCAAGTTAATTTAGATCTTCAGATAGCTTTAAAGGGATTGTTCAACCAAAAGCGAAGGTTATATGTTGATTTACTCACTCTCAAGTAGATGCAGCAGATTTGATTTATTTTTTTAGTGAGTAGAACATTAAAGATGATTTTATAAAAAAAATATAAATCTTTGTTAAAATTGCAAACGTTTGAATATTTTTTTTTGTGTCCGACTGGATCAAATTTACTTGAAATCTTGGTTACAGGCCTTCAAAACGCACAAAAAATTTAATCTTTTACTCTATTAGAACCTATTAGGTCCTGTTATATCAATCCCAACATAACATTGCAGATCCTGTAATGTGACTGGCATTTTTTTTAATTTATGCACATCTTGGTGTTTGCATCAACTGATAAATAAATAAATAAATAAATATATATATATATATATATATATATATATATATATATATATATATATATATATATATATATATATATATATATATATATATATATATTTTTTTTTTTTTTTTTTTTTTTTTTTAATGCGCATGTCTAAAATGCACATAAAAATAGGTGGATGGAAATGTAGCTACAGATAACAGGTACTGAGATGTGTTGTTGTCTCTGCAGTTGAGGTGGTGGTGGAGTATGAGTATGAAGCCCTCCACGAAGATGAGTTGACCCTCAGGCTTGGAGACATCATCAAAAACGTACGACGCATCGAAGAGGAGGGATGGATGGAAGGAGACCTCAACGGCAAACGAGGCCTTTTCCCAGACAACTTTGTAAAGGTACTTTCAAGAAAGCCTTTTTTGGCTGTTAATAAAGTGATGCAAGTAAATAATGGTGGTCAAATAATAGGAGTTAATATAAAGGTGTAAAGAAGTAACTTTTAAAGAGCCCATATTATGGGTTTTTGAAAATTCCCCTCCATGTAGTGTGTAACACAGCTCTAAGTGAAGTGAAGTATCCAGCTAAGGCTTAAATCTGTTAGTGTACAGTGTTTAAAACGGTTGATTCATCTATAAAAGAGTCGACTCATAGTGCTTCAAACGAGTCGCCTTGATACCGAGTCATTAGGTGTTTCGCCATGACGTACGAACGAAACCAAGTTATTCACGTGCACGCGCAAACCCGGGAGATTTTAAACCTGAGGCCCCGCCCTCTGACGCAGTAACGCAGACACACACACACACACACACACCCACAAACACACGCACACAAACATGCCGGTCGACTGAAGTCACACTGCAGATGGATATTAACGAGGGTCTACCCAAAGATGAAACCTCAGCATTATAACCAAGCAGTTGGAAACTACTAGAAACTTCTGCAAACTACATGCTACAAAGAATACTTCATCTGCGTTTGTTAAAGGAAGGATCAGTAAAGAGTAACTTACTGATGGACGTCAGGATGGGTTTCTTCCTCCATTTCTCAAGTGTAAGTACGTGCGATTAAAGTTGTTGCCTCGTTGACTCTAGCTTGCAAATGTATTTAGTTGTGATTTGTTACTTGTAACCGCGTGTACTCTATCAGGTTAACTGGCTATATTCTCTTATCGCGTGCTGCTTTGTTTACTCGTGGACGAGGGTAGTGTGTGTGTGCGTGCGCTGTCGTCCGGAGGTGTGTGTGTGTGTGTGCGTGTGCGTGTGCGCGCGCGCGCGTGCGCGTGCGTGCGGACGATGGCAATGTGTGTGTGTGTGTGTTTGTGTCTGTGAAAAGAGCAGAGTGAGACAAGCTTGGATATCTCCTCGACAGTTTTTGGAGTTTTTGCTCAATAAAATAGTTAATCGTCTGAATTTTCAAGTCCATCGACTGTATATACATTGACCCACTGGCAGCTAAAATCCACGCCTACAATATAGAGCGTGTATGAACTGTGATTACTTTTATATTGCTGATTAGCTGTTGTGCATTTTACTCTCTGACTGAAGGCAGTCAACCAATCGCAACAGGCTGTCATTGGTCCAATCAGCGCAGATTAGATTCGCGCTAAGGAGGGATTTGGGAACAAATGAATCACTGGACGATTCATACGGGAGTCGCTGGGATAATTAGGTAAAAATAAATGCAGATTATGAGACCATGAAAGTGTTTTTTGACCTTGCATGCATATGAGACTGTTGTTGGAGACCCTTACAACCAAGATATGACCCTATTTCATGTATAATATGGGCTCTTTAAATTGAGTTTAATACCTGACCATGTGTCTTTACAGTGTCATCTTCAATTTGTGTACATCTGAATTAGTTGTTACCGAGGCTGTGTGAGGAAACCCACATTAAAGTCGGTTGTGATGGCAGATCAAGTCAAAGGCAGGAAATTATTGCTTTCGTTTCCTTGCGGAGATCCTTTAGTAGGGTGTGAGGTAATCTTCCACTCCCTTCACTGAACTTTGTTCCCGGAAAGATTTGATAGTCGTGCTTTCGGGAGAGGAACATGGAAAGCGAGCAGGTAAAGAGCTCGTTTTAGTTTCTGAGTGTTAGTTTTTATACGAGTTAGATCTTGTTGTTGTTTTGTCTGGAAGGCATGTTACCTGTATTGTTTTGTCTTAAGGTGGTTTTCTATTGGTTTAGTTTCTCATAACATGGCACTTGATTTGATTGCTTGTTCCGCTGAATCACCAGACAGATCGCAGATAGTGCAGGCACTTAAAGGCCACAGAAAAGAAAAGGTTTAGAGATTTTTTAAGGCAAACTGTAATATTTCATCAAATTAGTTTTTAAACGGCTATTACAATTTTTTTTAATTAATTGAAAATCTTAAATGAATTTGAGCACTGATGTTTGTTACTGTAGAATAAAAAATAGAGACATTATTATATGAAAATGTAACATTTACGATTTAATATGTTATATAAAATGTTACAAAGTATTTCATACTCTAAAACAGTGGTTCTCAAAGTGAGGGTCGGGACCCCTTGAGGGGTCGCGGAACAATGAAAGGGGGTCGCCTGGTGATTTCCAAAAATCTACTTAATATTATTAGACCATAAGAATTACCATATTTTATCCATAACCAACTGAAGAGAAAAAAAACAGCCGTTTATAGTTACTATAGTAGCTTATTTACTTGTTCTATTGGATTGCGACCCCTGGGGTAAATACATTATTTTAAAAACAGCATTAGCGTCAGATGCAGCAGATTGATTTTATAACACCAGGTTAAACTTTCTGGCCCATTTACAGCACTGAAATACATTTAAAAATTTAAACAAAGAATAGACTTTGGTCTATTGGTGTGTGTGTGCGAAATTGCATGCAAGTTTTCTGTATTTATAACCACCTCAGGGGATATTGGGGGTCGCGAGTCACTGGTATTGTTATTTTAGGGGTCGCGTGCTGAAAAGTTTGGGAACCCCTGCTCTAAAACTGCTAGAAAAAGACCTAGTTTGTCACTTGTGTGTCATATTTGACTTTATCTCAAAAAATTGAGCTTTTGGTAATATTTCACTTTTATTTCCCATTTTTTAGCTTATGTTTCACAATAATTAAAACATCATAATCAGAGGAAATATGACCAATGTGGCAGTATTTGATTTCAGTTAGATGACAAATTTCAACAAATAGTTCTTTCTGCATCACAAAATTACAATATCAGCCTGCCTTCTTAGTTCAAAATTTTTAGTTTTTAAGGTTTTAAATTTTTCAAGGTGTCACGGGGGCGCAGTGGGTAGCACGATTGTCTCACAGCAAGAAAGTCACTGGTTTGATCCCTGGCTATGTCAGTTAGCATTTCTGTGTGGAGTTTGCTTGTTCTCCCCGTGTTTGCGTAGGTTTCTTCCAGGTACTCCGGTTTACCCCACAGTCCAAAGACATGCGGTATAGTTGAAATGAAATAACCAAATTGGCTGTAGTATATGTGTGTGACGGGCGACGCAGTGGTGCAGTAGATAGTGCTGTCACCTCACAGCAAAAAGGTCGCTGGTTCTAGCCACGGCTGGGTCAGTTGGTGTTTCTGTGTGGAGTTTGCATGTTCTCTCTGTGTTTGCATGTGTTTTTCCCGGGTTCTCTGGATTGTCCCACAGTCCAAAAGACATGAGGTACAGGTGAATTGAGTAGACTAAGTTGTCTGTAGTGTATGACTGTGAATGAGTGTGTGTGTATGTTTCCCAGGGTTGTGGCTGGAAGGGCATCCGCTGCGTAAAAACGTGCTGGATAAGTTGGCGCTTCATTCCGCTTTGGCGACCCCAGATTAATTAAAGGACTAAGCCAAAAAGAACTAGTGCTGAAAGTAACATTTACAAGTTACATTTTTTTTAAAGTTACTTAAATAGTATTCATTTTTAAAAGTAATGCATTACTTTACCTGTTACATTACTTTAAGACGTTACCCTCAACACTGGTTGTTATGATAATAAATTTTGGTACCAATCGGATTTACCGCTAACATTTGGGATCTGTTAAGCACGTTCTTAAACTTTGTTGATTGGCCATTGTGTTCTTGTGCTCAACAGAATCCACTCAACAGTGCTCAAATGTTAGCACTTTTTTAAATTTCAATTTAAAAAATCATTATCGAGACAACTAGTTTTTACTCATTTTAAATGAGTGGTTTGAACAAGCAGCAAAATTCATTTTTGAGTGCACTTAGAGCATTTACTTTGTGTATTAAGATTTAGTTTTTATTTGTTTATTAATTTAGCTGTAAAATTTTTAGAACATTTGTCATTTCATGTACTGATTCAGATGGTGGGACTCTTATCGTGCAATAAAAAAATATCGCTGTTAATCTATTCTCAAAGTTGGTTTGGGAGCTGAGTCTATTCTACGCAAGCTATGATGACTTTCATCTTGATATTTTAGCGCGGATGGATACCTGACCGGTGAGCCGTCTAACAAATAATTGCCCTTCTGAATCAAAACAGCAGGATGCCCGACTTAAACTGCAGTTCAACAGTTTCACTTTAACTCATGAACATTTCATTCATACCCCCGTAGTGGGCTAGTGGTTGGGTGGGTGTGGGTGTATGTGCGCGCGCAGTCCTTTACTGACAGCCGTGTGTGTGGATCTTGTCAGAAAATATGACGAGAAGTCCTACAATGACGGTAATAGTTTGATCGCAGTGTTTACTTCAATAATTCCACTAATATATGCAATCTCCACTACTTAGTTCCTTTTATCTTTAGTTCAGTTATGACTTTAGTCAGATCAAGGTAATCAAAAATTGCTGTTTCGACTTTATGTAGGCCTACAGTTCAAAATTCATGTTTAACTGAATAAACAGTTAGCAAGCACAAGTACATCCTATTGAACATCATATATTTTTATCACCAATTATCATAGTAGAACAGTTTCTCAAGCTGTTTGTGATGCATTTGGAAACAGGAGATGAACCCCTTGTCTTATGCGCCACCTGGCTTGAGAAACCTGCTCTCAAAGACCTAATTTTTGAGAAGCACACATATTCTAAATGCCTTCGGGAGAATTCAAATGAGCCATTTTAATCTAGATTAATTTCAAAATTCTAGACAAAAAAATGATCTATGAACACCTAATATATATATATATATATATATATATATATATATATATATATATATATATATATATATATATATATATATATATATATATATACACATATAGATGTATATATATATTTATATATACATATAGATATATATGTGTGTGTGTGTGTGTGTGTGTGTGTGTGTGTGTGTGTGTGTATATTAGGGCTGTCAAAATTAACACATGCAATATGTCAAAATTAACACATGTAATAAATATGGCTGTCAACATAGGATCTTGATGGTTTATTGTGGGCATGTTGTTTACATGAAGAAAT